TCCTACTCCCTCCTTTTCTGTGGGAGCCTCAATCTGCCCCCCCCCATGCCCCTTACCCACCCCTCCAGACTTACCAATAGGGCACTGTTCTCCATGCTGTCAGGCTGCATTCTGGTACATCGGCTATTGGACCAGTAACAGCTGATACGGCTGGTTAATAATCAGCTATTGGTAGTGTCCAAAAAAATATTTATCAATGGCGGCCTAAAAAAACAGCTAACCCAGAAGCCCTCTGGACATAAATGTCAGTCCTATACATAGATGTCCCATCCAAAAAACTACAAAACAAATGTTTTGAAGGAAATAGTTGAAGGATAATGGATCTAAAGTATTAGGAATGAGAGAAATGAATATCACAACTGTATCACCTTTGGGAAGAATCCCCTCTCAGCAGCTTCCTGCATATATTGAATTCAAGTTTGAGAAAGCAGAGATGGTGAATCCTGATCACTTATGCAATGTTTTGATGCATTTCATTTGACCCTTTCACAAAGGTATATGCAAAATACCAGACCAAAGTCATGCCTAACATTAAAGACATCTGTTGTGGATGGCTTCACTCTTTAGTACCACTTACAGAAATTAGAGTATTGAGTCTTCTCATTGAGAGGGTAGCAAATCTCTTTAAAAAATAAATCTCCACATACTGCTGTGTTCCAGTCTCTTTCCACTATCTGCTATACCCAGATACAAACCTGGCAATTTCCTTCACTTCCATGTTTCATACTAAATTAGGTTTAAAATTCAAGTCCTACTGAAGTAAATAAAATGGGCAGCCCCTATATGTGGCAGATATCAGAATAGGGAGGGGACAGGCAGCACAGTATCAGATAGGGCAGGGAGCAGAAAATAGAGCAGCAGATTAAGCAGGAAGCACAGGGCAGAAAGCAGAACAGGGACAGAGCTAGGATTGTCCCGAGGGGGGTCAAATTGGGGCAGCTGCCTGACCTGGGCCTCATAATTTGGGGGGCCCCACAGAGCGGGGCAGAGCAGTGGTGGTGCAGAACTGTCCAGAGTGGCAGCTTTACATCCAGCTGCTCGCTACCCCCACCTCCCCCTGCCACCGATGTCGCCACTTCCTGACCCTGGATTTGACCTGTGGTTTGGACTTTGTCTCTGGTCTTCCTCTGGTGCTCTAACCGCTAGGCAAGACTACTCATTACCTGGTCCATTAAGAGCTTCTACTTCAAAACATTCTTCTGGAGACTGATCAACTCTTTGCTTTAGTATTAACAAAAATCATTATCAGTTACCTCCTAAAGAAGTTCACAGGACTAAGCTAAAGTCCTGGGACTTTTTTTTTCAATAAAAAGATTTTAATAAATGTAGATTTAAAGTTATTAAACTTTTTCAGAGGTTTCTTTTTTCTTTTCTTTTTTGGAAGAGTGATTTTCAAATAATATGACATTTTTTGCCGGGTGTAATATTGGAGTGGAGGTTGTATTTCCTTTGTTTCTATTTTTATTTAGTGCTTTCCAGATCCCATAGATTTTTCTGGTTGTAATCTATGCAATGGGTGCATCTACGCATCATCATATGGCAATATTGCTACAGCGCCGTGCTTTAGTACTTCTTTTGAAAGTAATAAAGCACGGTGCAGTACGGGTGGTTACTGCACCATGCATGCAGTGCATGGTTAAATTTCACCACTATGTCACTCTATACCTGGGGAGTGCACTGCTATGGAGACGTAGCTGGTGATCAAGCGTAGACACACACGATCACTACTTTGCTGTAGCACACCATACAGTGATGTAGCATGTTGCAATGCTGCCATAGGGCAATGTGTAGACATGCCCAATAAGCTCTTCAGAGAAGGAGCATTTTATTTTGCTTTGTAGCACTAGCATATTTCCTTAGTCTTACAAATATGGAGCAGAGTGATTTGCCCTTTCCTATTTTAATATTCTTTTCTTAGTTACCTAAGCGATCCAAATTTGGAATCTTAAGAATGTGGCAGTTTCCCATAACATGCATCTGAAGTTTGGTTTAAAATGATAGATCTTTAAAACCAGAAAAATAATTGCGAGAGAATACACAGTAAGATTCTGGCTTCTTTCTGAAATGGCAGACTGCATCATGTCCCTGAAAGTAAAGGTAGTATAGTTTCATAGTTTCATAGTTTCTAGGGTTGGAAGGGATCTGAGCAGATCATCTAGTCCGACCCTTCCATGGCAGGAAAGAGTACTGGGGTCAAACGACCAGTAAGGTGGTCATCCAACTTCCTCTTAAAAACCCCCAGGGTGGGAGCCTGCACCACCTCACTTGGAAGCTGGTTCCAGACCCTAGCCACCCTGACTGTGAAGTAGCGCCTCCTGATGTCCAACTTAAACCTTCCCTCTGCCAGCTTGTGACCGTTGTTCCTGGTCACTCCTTGCGGCGCTCAGGGGAACAGGGACTCCCCCAGCGCCTG